AAGGTCCATTGTGACATTGTGGGGCCTCATGGAATCCTGGAGGCCATGATGACATTTGGAGGCCTCGTGGAATCAAGGGGCTCTGCAGGGCCTCATGGAACCAAGCAGACCCTTCTGACATTGTGAGTCCCCATGGAACCAAGGGTCCATTGTGACACTGCAGCACCAAGGAGACCCCTGTGACACTGCAAGGCCTCATGGAAGCCAGGGACCATTGTGACACTGGAGCCCCATGGAAACAAGAGGCCAGTGTGACACATCTGGGCCTCATGGAAGCAAGGATCCAATATGACACCACCACTGTGACACTGCAGGGTCCCATGAATCCAAGGGAACAGGGAAGAGGTCTGGTTGGCTTGGCCTGACTGGTCCAACTGCCCTTAGCATGTCGAGGGTCTCTTCTCATGTACCCCTGAAACCCTGGGGCTCTGGGCTTTCCTTCAAATGGAAAAGAACTGTTCTTCTCATTGAAACATCCATGACCAAACCATGATTCCATCTCCAAAATTTCCAGTGTCCAGGGATATTGAGGTGGGTTTATCCTTTGCTCTAAGCCATAAAAACCCCTTCTAACTAACATACCCTTTGCCTCCTTGGTTAGCCAGTAAGACTGGTTCAAAAATTATTTTCTTCCATATCAAAACTTGCTTTCATTTCTATTCCTTCTTCAGATTCTACATTTAAAAATCTTTCTGCTAAGCATACAGATGTGTGGGACTTTCTTGTCAAACTTTCATCCTTCCCAACAGTTGGTGACGAATTTTGCTTTTCCAGAGGCCTCTTTTTTCTTGATCTCTTCAGTTCAGAAATTCAGCGAGAAAAGCTGATTAACATTTGTTCAAAACACCCAAGCAAGACAAGCTCATTGGAATAATTCAAATCTTCAGTTCTTCTGCGGTTAGACAGATGTCAGAAGTGTTTTCAAAGTGAACCTACTATATTGAAAACAATGAATAGAGAATTGTTTTGTCCTGTTTAGTTTTCTTTTCCTGTTTATAGATTGGTATCAGCAGTCCTGACTTAATATTGATCCCCAGCACCTCCTCATGCAGACTGAACACCTATGAAAATCAAGACCCTTCATGGCTGACAATCAATCACACTTTGTCCCTACCCCCACCCCACCATTTCCCTCATCCAGCCCCTGGCACTGAGAGCAGCTGAGGAATGGAGTCACATCCAGGGGTGTCCCCAGGGCTCAGGATTGGGGCCAGGTCAGTGAAATCTCTTTATTGATGATGTGGATGATATCGCCAGCTGGGGCCTATGTACAAATCACAAATGGGAAGGGACTGCTGTGGAACGTGCCTTGAGCTGTTTTATTTCTCAGCATCAGTCTCATTACATGGGTATGACAATAGGAAGATGCCAGCAGCCCACATCCCAAGCAGCTGACCAAGAACTTAATGTTATAACTTACTTTATAAGTTTTTTGACCAATCACAGAAAGCAAAAGCACATTGACAGCAGTTCATTCCAACCACTATAAGCACATGTACCTTTGGTTAAAACAATGCTTGCCTATTTTGAATACAATACCTGCTTGTGAGCCTTAAAACACAATGCACAGAGCTCCATTATTAAGCTTCAAACTTCCTAATATCTTGCTAGATAAACTTTTCTGTAGCTTAGGAAGGTATTCTAGACAAGCATTAATACACAGACCATTGTTCTATTTGTTCTTACTTTTCTACTTTTTAAATAATTCTTCTGCTGACCTATCTCATGGCTACTGATTACCTCTAACCACAGTTCTGCTGTCTCTGAGGCCTGCCTTGTGCAGCTTCCCCAAAACCCTCTGATTTTGTGGAGTCCCACACTGAACACAAGTTCAGCTATTTTAAACCAAATGCTCACTGATGTAGATAGTATTAGACATGGCACACTGCAAAATAGAGCTGCTATAGATTTTTTGCTGTTAGCACATGGACAAAGGTGTGAGAATTTTGAAGGAATGTGTTTTATGAACCTCCTCTTTCCATTCACAGGAAACTCAAACAACTACAAGACAACATGAAGAAATTGACTCTGAATGATTTGGGCTTGGATGAATGGTTTGAGGAATGGGTAATAACTGGATGATTGAAAGATATCTTAAAGGGAGCTTTGTTATTACTAGTAGTTATTATTATATTGCTTTGTGCTATTCCAGCATAGTGAAATTTGTGACCCGCTTGGCAGAAAATACAGTGAAAAGGATTTGGGTGATGCAAGATGAAGAAGGGGAAATTGTAGCAATGTATCTAAACAACTTGGGCCACACTGTGCACCAGCCATACCACTTTTAGTTATTCTTATCAGAGCCATCTGGAATTAATCAAGGTTACTAAGACAGAAACTGTGCTAAATGAAGAATGAAAAGGCTGAGAAACAGAATACCAAGACCACAAGAACTCGATAACAGAAGGCTGTGAACCACCTGGACTGTAACCAATCACAAACTCTGAGAAGTGAGTGCAGGACACATGGACAACGCAGAGGCACCAATGAAGAAGAGTGTGATTGGTGCATGCATTAGGGTTAGAATGTATAAATAGGTGCATAATGTAAACAATAAATGGCTTCTGCTTAATCATACTGGTTAGTAGAATGGGAGTCCTGTTTTCCCACAATGGGTGCCTGGGAAGGAGGGAGGATTCTTTTCCATAAAAAGGAAAGCACTAAGCCAGGAGCAGGAGACAAGTGACCCTTGCAGGCCCAGGGCCTCATTGCCTCCTTGTCCCTGCTCAGCAGCCTGGCAGAGGCCGCCCCATGCTCCTGCCCTTGCCATTGCACATCCCCACATGCCAGTGCCCAGCCCGGCAAGAGCCCTGAGCAAAGAGGGAGGGACAGCATCTGCCTGGCCAGGGGCTGGGGCTCAGGCCTTGGCCCTTGGCATTCCTCAAACACATCCAGCTTTGCTGAGCACCAGAGACACCTTGGCCTTTTTTATCCCCAGCTGTCATCACTGCCTCCAGTGTTCTGCTCTAACTGGAACCTGGGGACACATTCTCAGAGAGACTTAATAAACTTTTAGAAACTTTGGAATTTCAATTTAACTTTGAATCCTTGAGAAGTTTTTTGAAAACTCTCTGAGGGACTGGATCTGATGTAAACAACACCAAATCCCTGAGGGGCTCATTAAAGTCATTCTGCTGTGTCTGGGCTGCTGAGCTTTAAGGGAACAGCTCTTTCCAGGGTCAGCTCCTGTCCCAGCCCAGCCTGGCTGAGGGCTCTGCCTGCAGGCACTGAGGGGACAGGAGCCAGGCAGAGACAAGCTGAAGGCAATCAGGATTGGGAAGACATTGAGCTGAGACTTCACTTGGGGAAAGATCTTCACAGCCCTGTGCATGGTGAGTGTGTGTGTGCAGGGCAATGTCCCCTGTGCTCCTGGAGGGATCTCCTGAAGCCAGCACACCCCACAGCCTGGGGGATGTGTCAGGAGGACTCTCCCAGTTTCTCTCTGGCACAGGAGCAGGAGGAGGAGGAGGATGTGCTGCAGAGCGGGGCTGCCCTGGGCACTGTCAGAGGGACAGGGCAGGACGGCTCCTGCTGCCAGGGACGGCTGCAGGGGCTGAAGCTGAGGCTGCAGCCAGGGCTGCCCAGGGCTGTCCTGCAGAGCAGCTCCTGCAGCCCTCAGGGCTCTTGGCCAGCCCAGGGCATGTGCCACCTGCCAGGGGCAGCTCTCAGCCTGCCTGGCAGCTCCCCATGGACGCTGCAGGGAAGAAGTTGGAGGTGGAAGGAGCCACCCCCATCAGGGCAGATTCCTCCTGCTCTGGAGATGGTGCTGCATGGCCAGGGCTGCTCTCAGCTTTCTCCTAAACGGAAGGGAAAGGGGCTGTCAGCTGTGTCTGTGTCACTGAGACTCCGGCACTGTCACCCTGGGCATCAGCAGATGGGCCTCAGATCACCCTCAGAAAGTGCCTCCTCAGCCTCCTCTCCCTACAGACAGCAGCAGCAGCTCCTTGGCTTGCAGCATCTCTGTCTGGCCTGCCCTTAAGGCCCTGCTGTCAGGGAGATGTCCCTGGGCAGTGCCCTGTGCTGGGGGGGGTCTGCAGGGCAGAGCTGAGTCCCCAGGGCTGGGCTGGGCTCTGGCAGCATTGGCAGGGACAAGGCTTGGGTAAAGAAAAACAGCTCCCAATAGGCACAACTCCAGGCAGCAGAGAGCCAGACCAATCCTTTGCTTCCCTCCATGTCCTGCTTCATAGGGAGAGAGAGAAGAGTTGGAGAGATTGATTTTGAAACTGGAGTCTTCAAAAAAAGCCATGTTATTTTAAAGAGCAGTTTTAAATTGGTACATCCTGTACTAGAGCGAGGGGAAATGAGCAAAGGGTGCCTGTGTTGGCCCAGCAGGTCTGAGTGCACTGGGGCACAGGGAGCCCTGTTTTCCATCTGGCCTCCCCAGTGTTCAGCCTGAGAGCAATGTTAAGAACAGGACTTTTGTCCCTTCTGAAAAGCACACAGTTACTTTGTAGCCCAAAGCTACACTGAAAAAAAAAAAAAGGTAAATGAAATTTCCCCAGAGAAAGAGAAGAAATTTTGAGTGCCTGTGAAAGAAAATAGCATAGGATGTACTCCAGGTACTTTGTCCAAATTGTCAATGTTGTCTTTGAACAGCTCAAAATGTCCAGAATGAAGGAATGTCCAACAGCAGCTCCATCAGGCACTTCCTCCTGCTGCCATTGGCAGACACGCGGCAGCTGCAGCTCCTGCACTTCTGCCTCTTGCTGGCCATCTCCCTGGCTGCCCTCCTGGGCAGCGGCCTCATCATCAGCGCCGTAGCCTGCGGCCACCACCTGCACACGCCCATGTCCTTCTTCCTGCTCAACCTGGCCCTCAGCGACCTGGGCTCCATCTGCACCACTGTCCCCAAAGCCATGCACAATTCCCTCTGGGACACCAGAGACATCTCCTATTTAGGATGCGCTGCACAGGTGTTTTGCTTTGCCTTTTTCATGTCAGCAGAGTTTTCTCTCCTGACCATCATGTGCTATGACCGCTACGTGTCCATCTGCAAACCCCTGCACTACGGGACCCTCCTGGGCAGCAGAGCTTGTGCCCACATGGCAGCAGCTGCCTGGGCCAGTTCCTTTCTCCACGCTGTGCTGCACACAGCCAATACATTTTCCCTGCCCCTGTGCCACGGCAATGCCCTGGGCCAGTTCTTCTGTGAGGTGCCCCAGATCCTCAAGCTCTCCTGCTCCAAATCCTACCTCAGGGAACTTGGGCTTCTTGTGCTAAGTGCTCTTCTATTTTTTGCTTGTTCTGTGTTCATTGTTTTCTCCTATGTGCAGATCTTCAGGGCTGTGATGAGGATCCCCTCTGAGCAGGGGCGGCACAAAGCCTTTTCCACCTGCCTCCCTCACCTGGCTGTGCTCTCCCTGTTCATCAGCACTGCCTATTTTGCCTACCTGAAGCCGCCCTCCATCTCCTCCCCATCCCTAGATCTGGCCCTGTCAGTTCTGTACTCGTTGTTGCCTACAGCCCTGAACCCCCTCATCTACAGCCTGAGGAACCAGGAGCTCAAGGATGCCTTGGGAAAACTGGTGACCGCAACTTCAGAACCAATAAATTCTCTTTTCTGCTACAGAGCCTGTAGAATATAACTCTTTTCAATCTCAGCCTTTTTTTCCCTGTTTGTCTATTCTTTGCTATGGTAACTTTTTCTATTTTTGTAGTGTTTCTATCAAAATACTGTATTGTTACTCTTAGCTTTTTACATGAATATCTACATTTCTTTTGAAATAAAAATACTTGCAAGTGGTCTGTTCCCTTGGTGTTTAAATAAAAACAAGTGCCTGCCTGACTTGTCTGTCCAAGGCATTTCCTGAGCCCTTCCCTGTCTCTGCACGGGCAGTGCCTGTGAGCGGAGGTGCGGGAAACGAATCCCAGCGCAGCAGCACAGCCAGGGACAATGCCCCCGCCTCTTCCCACATCTGCTCGGCCCAACTCCACCCTGTCCTTGCCAGCCCTGCTGTGGCTGTAAGGCCGGAGCGCTCTGGCAGCTTGGTCACTGTCTTGCTGCGTGTCCCTGCTGTGGCCACAGGCAGGGCCAGGCCATGGGCACTGCTGGGACACAGCTGGGCTCCAGCACAGCAGCTCCAGCAGCAAAGGGCATCTCCTGAGGGCAGGGCAGGGAGGCTTTGCTCCCCTCCAGAGCTGCTGTCAGCAATGTGCTCCAGGAATGCCCTGGCACAGCAAAGCCCAGGGCCTGAGGCAGGGGGGGAGTGTGCAGGGGGGGCTCACAGCAGTGTCCTGGCACAGCCAGAGCTCCTGGCATGGACCTGAGGCAGCAGCAGAGCAGGGCCTGGGCTGTGTCTCTGTTCTGGGACTGCCAGGGAAGGTGCCCCAGGGCAATTGTCCCACACCAGCCCCTGCAACCACCATTGCCAGCACTGGCCTCTCCCCACCTGCAGGAGGTTGTTTGTCCCTGCACGGAGGGACACCAAGTGACCAGGCCAGCAGGCCATGTTTGCTCTGTGCTGAGGAGATCGCAGCAGTACATCGTGTGTGTGTGAGGGGAGATGAGCCCCAGTGAGCACAAACACCATCAGCAACACCCGGGGATGGCACAATTCCAGTGGCACAAACAGGACCTTGAGGCCGCTTCACTCTGAGAGTAACGTCCTCTGGGAAAACCCCTGAATTCTTTGCTGGGTTGTGGTTAGGACTGCATAGAGAGAAATATCCCAGGAAGAGAGGCTCCAGGGAAAAATGCTCAGGGCAGCCATGGACTGCACAGGGAGACATTGGATAGAGTGAGGGTCTGTGGAGAGAAATCAGAGCTGCCTCCCTTCTGAACCAGCCCAGGGACATGGACAGGGCTGTGATGTGTTCTGGGAACTGACGTGGAACTGAGGGATGTGGAAAAGGCCTTTGGTGTAAGGGCTGTTGAGAAGGCTGGGAAGCGTCACTGTGGGACCTCTCTCAAACCCCTTGGAAAGGCCAGAGCCATCCCAGACGGTCCTGGGCACTTGGGAAGGGCAGACATGGAACCAGTCTGCACACAGGGCAGGGAGGGGAACTGGGAGAGTCACAGCCTGGTTAGGCTCAGCAGGGAAAGGGATGTGGCAAATCCTCCTGCAGCCATTCCAGGCACTGGCAGGACAGGGCAGGGACTGCAGAACCCACGTGGGAGGGAACAGAAGGGGATGTTGTGTGCCCAGACTTCAGCCAGGCCTGGGACAGGGTCTGCTGTGGCCTCCTCAGAGCCAGACTGGAGAGGGCTGGGCTGAAGGAGTGGAACATGGGCTGGGTGGGAATTTGGCTGAACAATGAGGGTCAAATGTCATCCATGGTACAGAGTCCTCTTGGCAGCCACACCCTGGTGACATCCCTCAGTGACCAGCCCTTGGCTACCACTGTGGAACATTTCTAGTGTCTCTAAAATGGCATGAAATGTACTTTCAATTCCTTTATGAATGCTGCCAGATTGCAGGGAGTCTGTGACTGAACTCATCTCGTTAATGGTGACTGCAAAATATAACTGGGCAAGGTGACTGAGTTGGGTAAATTTATCTTGCCATCCGGTGCCAAGCAAGCCACAATAAAGGGCAGAAAAAACGTATGCATCAGAAGAAAGTCAGTTTAATAGGGAAAAACCCAAACCCAAACAAAAAATAAAAACCCCAAACCCAATCAAAAAAAACCAAAGCAAGACCCACCCACAACAACACAAAATCCCCACAAACAAACCAACCACAAAAAGAAAAAGCCACAAATAGAAAAAAATCAAATTCACAGGATATCTCCTATCAGCAGAAAATGTTTAACCAACTTCTGGCAGGAGAGGATTCTGTATGTGTAGGTGCTGTTTTGAAAGAAAAATATCTGAAAAAAGAAATTAATCTCCTAATCACCTCGTCCCCCTCCCCCCGCCCGATTTGATTACTGATCATGGTGTGACACGGAATGGAACATCCCTTGGGTCAGTCCAGCCCAGCTGTCCCATCCCTGTTCCCCAGGAACACTTACCCACCCCAGGCCCATAGGTTAGGGGAATTGCAGACACCTCGTGCGGGGCGAGCACTGAGACAAGGACAGGAGACCAGAACAAGATTTACTCTTGTCAAGGACAGTAGAACAGAACAGCTCAGCCTTGGAGAAACTGATTGAGGATGCACCTCTGGCAAACAGAAGTCACACACAATACAAGCAGGATGCCAGCACAGCTCTGCAAGGCTAACACAACAGAAGTTATGCAAAATAATAATATTGCCATTACTCAAAGGAGGAGTCAAGGAAGAGCCACCTAAAAAGGGCACTGGATATTGAAGACAAAACCCAAAGAACCATGAAAGGATTTGTGATAAGGGGTGCAACTATGTCAAATAAACTCAAAGGAAGTGGGGATAGCTCATCAATACAGAATGAATGTGTGTGATAAAATCTCTGATCATTCAATGCCTAATGCACTCCAATGGAGGAAGGATGGCCCAAGTGACCACCATGTTGTAATAAAGAATACCTGCTTTCAAATACTCAAAACTCTGTTCAGAAGTTTCTATCCAGTGGATTTCAGTATCAGTGGTGTCCTTGACTCCATTGTGCCCCACAGCTTCACAATGGCTTCTTGGTTCCATGAGGCCCTGCTGTAGAACAATGGACCCTTGGTTCTATTGGGTTCCGTACTGTCAAAATGGCCTCCTTGGTTCTGCACTGCCACAATGCTCTCCTTGATTCCACAAGGCCTTGGTGTGTCATAACAGCCCCTTGGTTCCATCAACTGCCAGAGTGTCACCCTGCTCTCTTGGATCTGCAGTGTCACAATGGACAATTGGTCACAAGCATCCCTGCTGTGTCACCATGAATATTTGGCTCCATGGAGCCCCACAGTGTCACAATGGCCCCTTGGCTCCAGGAGGTTCCACAGCATCACCATGGTCTCCTTGGATCTGCAGTATCTCCATGGACCATTGGTTCCATGTGGCCCTGCTGTGTCACAGTGGTTCCTTGGTTCCATGAAGCCCCACTGCATAGCAATGGAATCTTGGTCCTGTGAGATTCTGTACTGTCACCATGGTCTCCTTGGTTCTGGAGTCTAACCATGGACCCTTGGTTCCATGAGGTTCCATGATGTCACAATGGTCTCCTTGGTTCCAAAAGGTTCCATGATGTCAAAATGGTCTCCTTGGTTCCACAAGGCCTTGTTTTGTCACAATGGACCCATGGTTCCATAAGCTTACATGCTGTAACTATGGTCTCCTCAGATGCACATTGTCACAATGGACAATTGGCTTAATGGGCCCTGCTGTGTCACAATAAACCCTCAGTGCCATGAGGTTCTGTGGTGTCACAATGGTCTGCCTGGTTCAATGAGGCCCTGGAGTGTCACAATGGCTGCTTGGTTCCATGAGCTTCCATAGCATCAACAATGGTCTCCTTGTTTCTGCAGTGTCATAATAGACCCTGCAGAAATGAGGTCCCTAAATGTCAGTGGTCTCCTGGGTTCCATGTGGCCTGCTGTGTCACCATGGCACCTTGGTTCCATGAGTTTCTGTACTGTCAGCAATGGTTCCTTTGTTCCACTGAGGCCCTGCTGTGTCACAATGGACCCTGGGTTCCATGAAGCTCTTCAGTGTCACAATGGCCCCCTGGATCCATGAGGTCCCACAGTGTCACCATGGTGTCCTTGGATCCACACTGCCATAATGGGCCATTGGTGCAGCCGGAATAGCAGCTAATAAAGCCCAGGGTAGGGAAGCAAAAAGGGCCTTTGCATGTTACCCACAGATGTTTAATTCAGCCGTGCGGTGAGATGTTCTGGGTCACAAGGCAGGACTCCTGGGGGGAGTCCAGGTTTCTGTATCTCCAGAGGAAGGGGTTGATCAGTGCCATGGGGGCAGTACAAAGATGAGGCCAATGGGGGAATAGGGAGGGAGTGGCTGAGGGACACAGAACAAGGGGAAGGAGCCAATGGGGTCGCACAGCTATTGAGGGAAGCTTCTTGTGTCTCCCTAACCCAGGGAATGCCTCTCAGGGTCTCCACAGCTGCAGAGTGTCAAAATGGCCCCTTGGTTCTTTTGGGCTCCTCAGGATCCTAGTGGCCCCTTGGCTGCATGAGGCCCAGCTGTGTCACACTGGCCCCTTGCTTCCATTGGGCCCCACAGTGTCACAATTGTCCCTCCCCTTAGTTCCATGAGGCTCCACAAGGCCACAATGGACCTCTGGTTCCATGAGTGCCACATTGTTCCATGAATCCTTAGTTCCATGGGGCCCTGTAGTGTCACAATGGTCCCTTGGTTCCGTGGTGCCGCACAGTGCCACAATTGCCCTTTGGCCCAACAGGGCCTAATAGTGTCACAATGGACTCCTTGGTTCCCTGGGGACACAAAGTGCCACAATGGTCCAATAGTTTCACAAGCCCTCAAAGTATAAAAATGGCCTCTATTGTTCCTTGAGGCCCTGCTGTGTCACAATGGACCTTTGGTTCCATGATGCCCCATAGTGTCACAATGGTCTCCTTGATTCTACACTTCAAGAA